TACTTCACTTTTCCTTTTCATTTTTCGGTTCTTCTCTCGCAGCCAAAACTCTCCCTTTGTTCATTGTACAATCGTTCATCTTGTTTAATGAAAATCATTCAGTGTATTGTTCAATTTCCAGTCTAATAAGAATGGTATGTTTATTCTCTCACTTCCATCAGTTACGGTGTGTAATTAAAAAAAATAAAAAAATACAGAAAGTCTCTTCTCTCAAATGGTAAGCATTAAAGCAGTTGCATGTTGAATTTGTTATACGAAAAATAAAATTGTGAATTTGAATTCAAAAACAGGTTGATCGATTATCTGAAAACTTTATATGTTTAGTAATCTGAAACATGTATATGTTTAGTTTATATAATGTATATACTATTATCCACAATGTTTACACATATGAAACTGTATATATTTAAATTGTATATGTTTAGTTTATACAACGTATATATTATTATCCATAATGTTTACACATAAGAAACTATATATGTTTAGTTTACACAACTTATATATTATAATCCATAATGTTTACACATACGAAACTATATATGTTTAGTTTATAACGTACATTATATTATCCATATTTATTTTTTCTGTAATTTTTTCTCCATTGGGTGGTCGTTTTCAATAAATTCGTCGTCAAGTTACACCTCCTCAATGTCAATTTCTTCATCTTCAACAAAATTAGAATATCCGGCTTTGAAATTTTGTGCTTTTTAATCCGTCGTGATCGCTTCTTTGCCGGTGGAATTTTATGGACGTCGTCGAAGACGTTGGAGTGGGCTTTTATTTGCCGCCAGGTTGACTGCTACCGACGATGTGCAGGGTGTCGACGTCGGGCATTTTTGTTGTGTTTTATTAGAGGCGAATAGTGATGGAGAAAAAAAAAAATTGATTGAGGAAGGTGGAGTGAAAAGTAAAGTAAATTAATGGGGGTAGTTGTGCTCATGAATGATTCTTGATAGAAAAATGAAAAAAACGTTAATGGATATGAGGGTAATATTTAGAATCCCAAAAAATTAGAGCATCTCCAACGGTGTGTGAATTGTAGGATTGTAGAAGGAACGCAATAAAAAAAATTTCTCCAACCGTGATTTTTCTATTTCTATTGGTGATGATGTGGCATGAAAGAGAACCAATAATTCTAAAAGTACTTCTACATGTAGAAGTCCTTCTAGACTTAATGAGTTATTTTTTTTTTACTTATTTACAATACAAAATAAATAGATAATATGGAATAGAAATAAACCATTGGATAGTTTTTATGGACTTTAGCCTCTAATTGTTCCACCTGGATGAAAAACTGTCTATTTAATTGTCACATACAGTACAATTCATGTTCACAGTTGAATATGCTCTTAGGAAGTTACCATTCAAAAACCACCTCCGTAAAATTATCTATAAAAAACGTTTGTAAGTGTATCTTGTATTTGTGCTATTATTTTTGACAGATTTATTATGTTTGCAAATAAATAATTTTATTAGTATAGATGCAATATTTCTTTGTTCAGTTAGTATACAGGGTAACTTTCTCTTGATTTTGCCTATTCGGAGAGTATCAAAGCACGAATCTCAAAATTACTGGATTCACATCTGCAATCTGCATTCCTTTTTGTGGCAACATTGTGTCCGTGAAAATTAAGGGACCAAAAGGCAAATGGGAAGACAAGTCTTCATTTAACACTGAAAATTTACTTTCAGTAGCCAAACACGAGTCTTTTAGCTCAAAACAAGAAAACAGTGAACGATCGGCAAAATTACCCACACAAGCACAAGGACAGAAAATTAAGCAGGACAAAAACTTAAAACATCTGCAAAACTACAACAGCAAAAACAAATAAATAAAAACGAGCATATCACTCGCTCCCCATAGCCATCAAGAATTCACCCTCACAAACTACATCACCACCTACGTATGCCTTGCCTTCCATCTTTGCTATGCCAAAGCGCTTTTGAAGCTTGACAAGGTTCATTCTCATTACAAGAGTGTCGCCTGCAATTACGGGCTTTCTGAATCTCACCTTGTCGACTCCAGCAAAGAAGAAATTGTCCCGTGAGCCTCCCACCTCGGGTTGTAGCATGACCAAGCCACCAACTTGGGCCATTGCCTGAGCCCAAGAACATATGCATAAGTCCATGTAAAAATGCAAGCTAGTGAAGGTGTGATTTGTAAACAAAGATAGATATCAAGGACTGGTTTGTAATTTTGAAATATTCGCACACTTTTAGTTCTTAAACTAAACCTCAGAAAAAATGTTCTTTGTTGACCATTAAAACAAAAATTGATGCAGCAAGTTGCCGCTACTATTTTCACTAATGGTGGTGCTCTAGAGGAAGGGACTTCTCTAAGAATTAGGTGTTGCATAGCATTTTCTGGAGAGAGATTTTTCATAAATTATCAAGCGATAAGCAACAGGATCAGTCAAATGTGGACGGGGGGAAGAGATCAACGAACTTAGAAATATGGGATTAATGAGTTTCAAGGAGTATATAAGCAATATTTGTGGAGTGGGACCTCTATGTGCAAGTTCATCATACATCAAATTGACACCACAGCTAATTAGCTATAGGTATATTACTCCATTAGACAGGACTTGTCTTTCCATCAGCTTACCCATGTCTTTACTTCAAACCAGCATAATCAAGTCTCTAGCATGAGTACCTTAAAAGTATTACAGATGGGCGTCAACAGTTTCTCAATGGATTAGACATAGTTTACCTTCTCAGAAAACTTTAGTTGTGACCTTCCAAAAATTTAAATATATCATAATAACATTATCTTTTGGGTGTATTAGATTATAAATTGTGTAACAACTCTACTTTTCTGGAATAACATTAATGAAGCCTTCTAAAATTTATACGAGTGTTTAAATGCTCCCAAAAACCTCAAACTGCTAGCTCATGAAAATTCCATGTATTATGACCGAAGCGAATATGCTATTAACACCGATATAGTTTTGAATCTGGAATCAGGATATTCAATAAATTGGTATATAAACTTTCCTCACATGATCAACATAGTAGTCACTCAACACATCTGATAACAATCCCATGTTAAATTTCAGTATGTCTATCATGCACCTATAATATGCATGAATCAAAAAAATACAGAACTAGAACTTATCATGTAAGAGCAATGCACTCAACGTGAAGTTTAAAATATTTCATACTCATTTTCAAAGAAGAAAAAAAAGAAAGAATTTTCAGGTATCTAATGATATGAAGCGCGAAAACCACTTGCATAGTTGCATTAAATGAAATGCAACTCGGAATGTCAGATTTGTGTCTTAAAATGAATTGGAAGCTAGACCTGTTTATACATTTTCATTTTCAACCAAGCCAAGTGCAACTCGGAATGTCAGATTTGCTTCTTAAAATGAATTTAAAGACTCCTAAACAAGATATCCACATGAAGAACAATTTTCTTTAGTACCAAAAGCTAAAACAACTGACAGATACCAAAAAACATTACATCGACTTGCAAAGGTGGTATTCAGTACAATAGAACTGAAACATACACAATCATACATATAAGAAAAAATAAAGCTTGATTCATGTACCACTAGCAAGCAATGTATGTGATGAGTACTATAAATCCATAAAAAGAACTCAATTTTAATTACCTCAACCATTAACACACCAGGCATAATTGGCCTCTCCGGAAAATGACCGGGAAAAAAATTATCATTTATCGTCACATTCTTGATGCCAACGGCCGACACCCCAGGAGTATACTCAATCACTCTATCCACTAACAAAAAGGGGAACCTATATACAACGAAAGGGAATAAACATGTAACATTTACAAAATTAAATGAAACTGGCTCTAAAAGAGACACATGAACATGTTAGAAGAGCTTAATCCAAACAAAATGTGAGAAAATTCACGCACCGGTGAGGCAAAATCTCCCTAATCTGATTAATATCCATGACCGTGGGAAATGCAGGATACCCTGTGAACAAACAACATAAAAAGAACATCATGAACAAAACGAAAAAATAAAAATTAAATTAAATACATTTATAGGCCGACCCATCAATAATTCGTACTCAGTTCGATTGGGGTCTCCGCCGTGGAGCTTCCGTCGCCGGATGAAGCGGAGTTGGCGATGAAAATTTTTTGGGTCTTCTTAGAATGCGTTGAAACGACATCGGATCTGGAAATGTTCGGAAATGGCTTGACTGAAACTGAGAGGGGCGTGATTTTCTTCGAAATCGGCGACTTGGAAGACGTCTGGGCGGAGAACAGAGACTGTGATAATATACTGGACGCCATCGTTGAGTGATGTGATGATGGCGAGCGTGAAGATATTAGGGGCGTGTGTGAGAGAGGAAAAATAGAGATGCAAATGCTATGAAAGCCTAGGCTAGATGGGGGCGAATTACACGAGGTTGGCGTGGCTGAACTTGGTTATGGTTTGGTTTTGACGATGGCTTTGTTGATGATTAGCAGGCGCAGGATTATGGGCAGTGAGTGAAAGAGCGCGAGCGATAGGGGCAGGGCGCAAGGCAAGACCAAGATCCATATCCAAGTACTGGTTTGTCGCACATGTTTACAGTTTGTTATGCAAGCTATTTTGTTTACATAATAACAATTAGTTTTTTTTTTCTCTAAAGCCCACTTTGGTTGTTATGATTGAAATGGTGGTTGTGAAAATTGAATCGGTCATCTAATCGATAAAATTACCAGTTCAATGGTTCTCGGGTCGGACCATTTCGCACAGACCGAACAGATATAGTTAATATATAATTTTAATTAATTTTATATGTATAATATATAATTGTATGTATTTATATTATTAATTTTATAGTGTGCAATGACATTTTTTTAATAAATACATAATCATGCATGCTCTAACTATTTTATATTTTAGCTATTATGCTTGATTCCAAGGGTAGGCTTATAAGTTATAACCAATATGCATTGTTTTATTTTTGTCATTTTTTAAAAAATATTTTTTTATCGTTTTGGGCATGAGAAATAATGTCTTTGCTTAACCTTAGGGCTTTATTTATATTGTTTCACCCAACAGTAATGATTTTGGGCATGAGAAATAAATCTGATAAGGGAAAAAATATACATTTACTATACGACACGTGGCTCGAGAGAATAAAGACACGTGTGATCCGAGAACCGTTAGAGTCCAGGATTAAGGCCGAAGTCCAACCTCAATCCAGGCCCAAGGTCCCAAAGAGCTTTACTCTGGGCCCAACGTCCTGAAGAGAGTTACAGTAGGCCTAAGGTCCAGAGGAGCTTTACTTTGGGCCCAAGGTCTGGGGTCAGCCCACGAAACTTATGGGCCAGGGAGTCCTCCGCCTGCAAAAGGGAGACCTAGGTCGTCTGACTCCTATAAAAGGACGACTTAGGTCAAGGTAAGGGATATTCTCACTACTCAATATTCTCTCCTCTACTCATTCCGTAGCCACCACTCCAGAAAACCTAAAATCGATTCTAACTTAAGCATCAGAGGGTCTACCCCTGGGGACAACCCCGGGGTTCTGTTTTGCAGGCGTCGGAGCAAAGGAGGCGAGTTCAGGAAGAGGTCGGAGCATCAATCGTCGCCACGTGTCCTCTAACTAACGTCAGGTAATTCTTGTATCATCAATTGGCGCCATCTGTGGGACCGACGACTTAGGAAGAGGATTCATGGCGATACGGAAGAGAGGTGAAACCAGTCGAGGGACGCGAGACGTCTCACGACATGATCAATCCCAAGAAAGTGAATCAAACTCTCAGTCTAACCCTAGCCAAAACCAAAGTTCACAACATCCGGCGACCTCGGAGACAGAGGTCGAACGACTGCAGAGGGTCGAAAAAGAACTCCTTGAACTAAAGATCCTGATGAAGGGTATGATAGAAAAAAGAAGCATCTCTAGGTCAAAAGGATTGAGAAGCCAGCCATGGCGAAGGTTCTAAAGCCCCCAACGATGAAACCGAGGTCAGATCCAAAAGAGACCTCGGGAGAAGAAATTTCACACCTGAGGATGGCAGCCTTAAGCGAAAGCTTGAGGAGATGAATGAAAGGCTCGGAGTGGTGTGGAAAGAAGTCAGAAAGCCAACGTCGGATATTTTCTCACCCACCGAGTCCCTTTTTGTTGATAGCATCATGAAAGAGAAAATCCCCTCTAGCTTCAAGATGCCTCAGATGGAGAATTAAGATGGAACCTCGGACCCCCGTGACCACCTTGAGAATTTCCAAGCTCTCATGATGCTTCATGGGGAGACCGACGCCATCAAATGTCGAGCGTTCTCGGCCACGCTAAGAAAGAGCGCCAGGGTTTGGTTCTCTTCACTGCCAGCGGCCTCTATCTATACTTTCAAACAATTGGCACAAGAATTCCTCAACCACTTTGTTAGCAGCAAATGGTAAGAAAGCGTCAGCCCACCTTATGGGCGTCCGTCAGAGGTCGAATGAGACGCTAAGGGAGTTTATCCAATGTTTTAATAGAGAGGCACTAGAGATTGAGGACATGGACCAGTCTGTGGCCTTAGCTGCACTCATTAATGGGGTTCAAAAGTCTTCAAGGTTTGCTTTCTCTTTGGCGAAAAACCACCGCTATCCCTCCCTGATCTCTTCAGTAGAGCTGAAAAGTACATCAACGTTGAGGAGATGTCCAGAACGGAGGATGAGCGGGAGACCTCTGACAGAAAGAGGATAAGGGACTCTGGTGACGATAATGGCGGAAAGAGAAAAAAAGTATCGGATAGGCTGTCTGTCACAACCAACTCACCAAAGGATCGGTCCAATCTCCCGAGGTTCGAAAGGTATACTCCTTTGCGTGCTAAAAAGAATGAAATCTTGATGTATATTCAAGATAAGGATTATGTCAGGTGGCCAACCAAGATGATTACCCCAACAAATAAAAAAAATCGGGATAAGTATTGTCGTTTTCACATAGACCACGGTCACGATACCGAGGACTGTGAAACCCTGAAAAACGAGATCGAGGACTTGATACGTAGAGGATACCTTAAGAAATTTGTCAGAAAAGACAGAAGCAGCCCTCAACCTCGGTGAAGACGCTCAAAAGATCGAAGTCGTAGTCCTAGGAGGGGTAATCCTAGGGCCCGAAGTCCGAGGAGGGACAACACTCAAGTTGCTGGGGTCATAACTGTCATCACCGGAGGACCATCCGGCGGAGAAAGCAATTCTGCTCGCAAAGCATATGCAAGGCAACCTCGAACAAGTGAGCCGCAAGAGAAAAGGGCTCCTAGGGAGACACAAATAACCTTCACAGAGGAAGACACGTGTAACATTCTAACTCCTCATGATGATCCCATAGTCGTTACACTTACGATTTGGAATTACGGGGTCAAAAGGGTGTTGGTGGATAGTGGCAGCTCGGCTCATATCATCTATGATGCATTCGAGAAGATGAAAATTGGTCGTGAACGACTAAGGCCAGTCAAAATTCCACTCATGGGGTTCACAGGTGAAACCGTGGAGTCGGAGAGAATTATAACTCTCCCGTTAATTACAGGGGACTCACCCCATGGATTTCTTAGTTGTGAAGGTCCCCTCCAATTACTATGTCATCCTTGGACGACCAGGGTTGAACAAGATGAAGGCCATAGTCTCTACATATCACATGCTTATGAAGTTCCCAACCGAGAATGGCATCGGGAAAGTTCGTGGAGACCAAGAGGTAGCCATACAATGTTATGTGGCCTCACTCAAAGGTACAAGAAAGAACTCGAAGGCTCTAACAATAGAGAGCTTAGATCCAGAGGACGAGGTTAAGAAAACAGGAGAGCCAGTAGAGACCTTAGTCTCAATTGAGCTTTATGAAGGGGACAATGATAAGGTTGTGCGAATAGGGTCCTCATTGCCCGAGGACCTTAAGGCAAAGCTTGTCCAATTCTTGAGAAAAAATGCTGAAGTCTTTGCTTGGGGTCCATCTGACATGTCGGGAATTGACAAGAAATGACTAAGTGCTGCTAGTCTCCCGGTGAGCCTCTGAACTTCTTTCACTGACTTAGGAGGATTCATGTCCAACAACGCTTTGATTTTCTCGGGGTTCGCCTCGATTCCTCATTGGGTAACCATGTATCCAAGAAACTTTCCCGAGGTCACCCAGAAGCGTACTTGTTGGGGTTGAGCTTCATCTTCTAATGCTTCAACACTGCGAAGGTCTCCTCTAAGTCAGCTATGTGGTCCTCCGCATGTGGGCTCTTTGCTAGCATGTCGTCAACATACACTTTAATGTTTCTACCAATCTGGTTTTTAAAGATCTTGTTCACTAGCCTTTGGTATGTAGCCCCCACGTTCTTCAGACCAAAGGGCATGACCTTGTAGCAATATAGGCCTCGGTCGGTGACAAAAGAAGTTTTGGCTTCATCTTCTGGGTGCATCCTTATCTGATGGTACCCCTGAAATGCATCCATGAAGCTAAGGATTTCACATCCGGTGGTGGCGTCTACCAGTTGGTCTATCCTTGGTAGGGGAAAGCTGTCCTTCGGACACGCCTTGTTTAGACTTGTAAAGTCTATGCACATCCTCCAATTGCCACTTGTTTTCAGAACCAAGATAACGTTGGACAACCACTCGGGATAATCTACCTCTCTTATGTAATTAGCATCTAAGAGTTTGTCCACCTCTCCGTTGATTGCTTGGATCCTGTCTGGGGTAAAACTCCTTTTCTTCTGCTGAACTAGCTTAAAGCTAGGGTCTGCATTTAGTCGGTGGACTATGGCTCAAGCGAGCCGCAATCAGGTTCTTCTCCTTTAGTAAAAGGGTTAAGCTTGCGGGACCTTTGAGCAAAAGAGCCAACTTAGCCTTTTCTTCGTCATGAGAGAGCTCGGACTCTAAGGGTCGACAGACATCGGCACTCCACTCAGAAGGAAAGTTCCAAGGATCACCCGAATAAACGTAGAAGAATTTAGACCTCTAATATTTCGTGTCTTTGGAAGAATCTACCACGGGTTTAGAACATGACCTCGACACAACATAAAAGAGACCTTCGGAACTAGGGTGGTTCTGGAGGCGGTAAATGGAACTAAAGATTCTGGCATTCGTGGGTATGGGTACTGAAGAATCATCCAAGCGTTAGGAGTTAGCTGAGTGGGAGAAATGTAGAAATTCAAGATCTCAACGATGGTCGGATGTAGAGGGAACCGTAAACCGTATTTGAACATATCTTCGTAAAGACAAAGTCATCCAGGAAAAGTTTCACCAAAACTGCCTTCCTCATGCTCCGAAATATAGAAATTTCAAGTGTCAGGAATGTAATGTTTGGCGTAGAACCTACGTATGTCATGTTCTACGAGTTTGGACA